CTTTTAGACAGTTTTACTTGTTTAACATGAGAACAAAAATCAAACAATGTTTCAAATGTCAATTCAAAAAATAGTTGGACAGAGGAGATCTCAGACTTTGGTCTTTAACATGTTTTTAAGGTTGAAACCTATTAATTAAGTGAGCGATATCAGTGCCCAAATATGACCCCTTTGCCGACTAGAACCAAATCATTCCAATAATTTGCTACATAAACTAATCTCAAATCCTCAGAAATATAAAATCTCTACCGATGATTTGTTGAGTGTTTCAATACTACAACTCTTGATGTCTTGCATATAGATATTCGAAATGACAACAAGAGACAACTAGCTGAGTAAATCCATAATTATCTTTGAATAAGTTTTTGGTCTGAATAAACCTATATTTGTTTATGCTGAATCCGCATCCAAGATTATGACACTACATGACAATGAGGAGATGATTCCAATAACCACTTTCGTATATCTAAAATACCACTGGCAACTATCATAAAAAAATCAACCAACCATCCAACTTAAAACATCCTCATTCCATTCACTTTTGCACCCATTAATAATAATTCATCCTCTCTAACATACTCCACTTTAACTTTCTGAAAATAACAATGTTTTTATCCCGCTCTCCTTATTCTCCCTCAATTCATCGCTTGCAAAAAAAAATGTCTTTCGGAATGAACGCTTCACACCGCCGCAAATTGGGAGACGACAATGATGATGATCACACTTATTACGGCAGGGTTGAACAACAACAAATAACAACCCCACCAAAGAATAAGGCAGTCTCTGGATTTGAGTTCTCAGAGTTTAGACAGCAGAGATTGCAGAGCTTGGCTGGTTTGGATGTTGAAACGTCTCCATCATCAAATGATGAATTTGCCAATAAGGCAAGAGAGAGAGTATCTTTTAGTATTCCGAGAATGGATTTTTCAATGATGGGAGGTGATAATCAATCTTCATCATTTGGTTCACCTCCACTTTCATCGGAGAGGACAGATTCTGTCAGATCAAATTTTGGTAAAGTATTTGATGAAGATATGTTGCAATTATTGAATCCAATTGCTTCTCGGGTTCATTCCTTTGAAAATAGAAGCAGTAGGAGGAGAAGTATTAGTAATAGTTCGAAAAACAGTCCTGAGGTTAATTCAGGCATTGTAGATTGTCCAAACCTTGAACAGAACGAGTCTGGATTATCATCTTTCCTTTGGAAACAAAGCAAGGAATATTTGTATGTTTTGATACCGATGGGAGGAGATAAGGGTTTCTATAAACAGGATGAAAATATTGAACTAGATGTTCAAATCAAATCAAAGAGAATTTACGCAGCCTTCAATGAGAAGGGTTCAGATATTCCACACGAAAAGCTTGTCGATTCAGAGTTGAGCATTGAGGTTCAAGTAGATGAATCAGGTTGGTGTATTAGAAATTCTCATTTACTTTTAGAGTTGAAAAAAAGAGATTCATCTGATGATGTTCAATTCCCTTTGCAATCGAGATTAAGAGTTAGAGAACTAGAGGAGGAAGCTGAAAATTCTTGTAAATATGAAGTAATGTCATCAGATGCTCCACTCCACAAGGAAATTTATCAGAGTTGGTTCAGTTGTATTGAGGATGATATTGCCAATTATTACTCCAAGTTTGAAGCATTGAAGAAAGATATGGG